ATGCTCATTTTTGGCAAGTAGGCCTCTTGGACATTGTTCTTTCAGAATATCCTGACAAATCCCATAATTTCAGAAATTTCATTTTTATGACGTCACACTTAAGTACTCTACGTCGTTACTACAGTCAACTCTCGCTAAGTTGAACCTTCTGGAAAATAAAATAAAAAAGTTCAAGCTATCGGGAGTTCGAAGTGAATAACTGCAAATAAGAAAATAGGCAAATGGGATATGGAAAGAATGCAAGTATCATGCACACTTCACTTCAAGGGCAGCAACAGATATTTTGATGTTTCATAAAAAGAATTAAGCAACAAAGCTTGAGTAATATATAGGGATGGACACTGTATCTGAATGGAACTGACAAAGAAGAGAGTGACAAAGAATACACGGGTGCTTACTATTTACATGGGAAACCCCGGAAATTTTGGTTGGAAAATCAAATGGTTCACGCCCTCCCGTTTGGAAGGGCTTCAGAAAAACAGGCTTTGTTTGGATGCGATGCAATTTTTCAACTCTATTTGGTCTGTACAGCCGACATGGATATACTTTGTAGCAAGTCGTTCGCCCTCCTCGTCAAATTTTATATATTTTTATGTTTATGCTCAAAAGTTTCACCCCGGATGGTTTGTGTAAACGGTAAGCCACCCCATCCTTAAGTTGGTTTCAAAAAGCTAATGGTTATAAGTTTGTAGTGCTAAGGAAAACATAAATGTACATGCCTTTAAAGCATTTGTGGTCTTCTCTCTGATGCACAGCTTGTTGAAGAGCTACTTAGAAAAGAATTACAAGAGGAACAAGAAGGTAAAGGGCTATCTTAACTTAGTGTCTTTTAAGCAGGCAGCAGTGTTCAAGACTTCTTATTCCCTGCTACAATCTTGGACAAAACTGTTGAGAAAATTGCATCTTTGGGGGGCATTTTTTCTGAATTTCGTAGCCGACCGATTCTTCCCTCCCCCCCTCCCCCTGGAAGCAGTGTTGTTGGGTCTTCAAAAGAAAGCCAGATCCCTAAGCATTTGTAGGAAGCAACTTTGAATTGGGGGAGGGGGTATTCTTTACGTAAAGCCGGTGATTTGGAAATAGTTTTGTTACGTAGTTTTGTCCAGGATTGTAGCTAAGTTCTCTCATAACAGAAAAAAATGAGTGGAAGGAGAAAGACCTCTTGCAGGCCCCTGACGCTTTCTCCTAAGCTGCCGACGGAGGCAAACTAGTTGGCAATTTACCATCATGACCAAGGGGTTAAACTGACGAGGCTACTAAAAACAACGTTTCCTTAGTCCCCAGAGCTGGATTTCACCTTGTGGCGCCCCAAGCCAGTTGAAATCCAGCTCCCAAAATCACTTAGCCACGCTGACTCACCTTCAGATGAAACTAGTAGTGTATGATAAATATGGAGCTTACATGTAAGCTACCAAGACAACAAAAGGAAAGACAAGGAAAACAACCACACTGTACGTGCAGTATAATTTTCCTCACATTTTCTTTGCCGTCAGTGCAGGCTTGCGATGTTCTATCGAGGACGCAAAACGACTTTTTCTTTTTTTCTAAACTTTTAATTGAATACGTCCTTAGGAAGTCATTTCAAGGCAAATTAGCCAGCATTTAACAAATTGAAGGATGTAGAATATTAACGATGAACTTTGAAACATCGCGATGTCGCTTTTTTTCTCTTTTGCCGTCGTTCTCGTGGTTGCTTACGTGTAAGCTCTCCAATAAATGTACAACAACGGAAAATAAGATAACCACACATACTCTTAACTTTGTGTTTATGATTATTTCCTGTAGTTGATGATATAGAAGACATTATAATAACGGACGATGAAGATGATGAAGAAGAGGTGATTACCATGTGTATTTATTGTGAGAAACCTTTTTGCCACTGCCTATCATGAGCAGTTGCAGTAGTCCCTAAAATTTGATGTTTTCATATACAGTCAACTCTCCCTAAGACGGAAACCTTTGGGACCATGTGTCCGTCCTTGAGAGAAGTCCGTCTTATAGAGAGTCAAATAAGGGGAGTAAAGAGAAGCAGAGACCAACTCTAGGTGTCCGTCTTATAGAGGTGTCCGCTAAGAGAGAGTTGACTGTATTGATTCCAATTACACCCCAACGTGTAGTAAGAGAGACCTTTAGATTCTAGGACGAGAACGACTACGAGTACGAGATTTGACTTAAAGTTTTTTCGCGTATTCTCAAATAATAGACACCCTGGAAAGCTTCATTGTACTTCCTTTCCGCCAAAAAAAATAGCGCAGTTATCTTTACTGAAGGAGGCTAAGCCATCCCCGGCCGCAAAATGATAAACCGTTTACACTTTATTACTTGTTTCCGCCACCACGACATTCTCGCTAAAACTGGTAGTAGAATGCTGACGGCCACCACGTTTTCCCGCCAAAGTGACGCTGGTTCACGTGCGCGCACTACTAAGTATTTAGAAAATCTCGTACTCGTACTCTTACTCGTCGTCTTAGAATCGAAATGCCTGTATACCTCAAGAGATGACAGGATTTAGGTTATCTTTACTTTGTCTATTTATGTTAATTTCGAACTTTCCTGACTATGATTTGAAAAGGTCAGGGTAAGGAGTCCTTATTTTACCTCGGTTGGCTGAAATAGTCATCCTCTGACTAACAAACCTGGGTCCGATTCCCCCCCCCCCCCCCCCCCCCCCCCCCCCCCCCCATCCACCCACAAATTCTAACATTCACGCAAACAGGGAAATTCCACCTATTCTGGCTACCGTACCTTGCCATTCCGCGCTATTCGTGTGTTTAGGAAAGAGAATGCTAA